TAATTTTTGGGAGTGTTTGGGGGTCTCCTAATTTTGAGGTGTCCCCAGGGTGCCCGGAGGCGCTGATGGGATCAGCTGGGGGGCTCTGGGTCCCTGATTGGGGGCTCCCAATTTGGGGGGTTTCTCCCAATTCAGGGAGATTTGGGAGTCTCTCCCCACTTTGAGATGTCTCCCCCACCCATGGGTGTCCCCCCCCCAGGGAGCCCGGAGGGCGCTGTGGGATCAGCTGGGGGGGGCTCTGGGTCCCGATTGGGGGCTCCCCAATTCAGGGGGTGCTTTGGGGGTTTCTCCCACTTTGGGAGGTCTCTCCCCAATTTTGGGAGTCTTTGCCCCACCCATGGGTGTCCCCCCCCCAGGGTGCCCGCAGGGCGCTGTGGGATCAGCTGGGGGGGGCTCTGGGTCCCGATTGGGGGCTCCCCAATTTGAGGGGTATTTGGGGGGTTTCTCCCCAATTTGGGGAGTCTCAGGGGGTCTCCCTGGCACCCACCCATGGGTGTCCCCAGGGAGCCCGGAGGGCGCTGTGGGATCAGCTGGGGGGCTCTGGGTCCCCGATTCGGGGCTCCCCAATTTGGGGAGGTTTCTCCCCAATTTCGGGAGCAGTGGAGGGTCTCTCCCCAATTTGGGAGTCTCCCCTGTGCCCCCCACCCATGGGTGTCCCCAGGGTGCCCGGAGGCGCTGTGGGATCAGCTGGGGGGCTCTGGGTCCCGATTCGGGGCTCCCCAATTCAGGGGGATTTGGGGGTTTCTCCCCAATTTTGGGAGTTTCTCCCCAATTTTGGGAGTCTCCCTTGTGCCCCCACCCATGGGTGTCCCCCAGGGTGCCCGGAGGGCGCTGTGGGATCAGCTGGGGGAGCTCTGGAGTCCCCGATTCGGGGGCTCCCGACAGCGTCGTCTTGGTCAGCACGGCCGAGTGGCAGGGCCAGGTGAGACTCCCCAATTTATTTTTGCGGGGGTGGGAGAACACCCCAAAATTTGGGGATGGGGATCCAAAATTTTGGAAGGGGAGAGAGGAACCCAAAATTTTGGGGTGGATTAAAAATTTAGGGGAGGGAAAAAAACCCAAATTTGAAGGAAAGGGGACCCAAAATTTGGGAGGGGACCCAAAATTTTAGGGGAGAGGAAGGAGACCCAGAATTTGAGGGGAGAAGCCCCAAAATTTTGGGGGGTGGGACAAAAAGTTTGGGAGGACCGCAAGAATTTTGGGGGTGGGAAGAACCTCAAAATTTGGAGGGAAACAAAATTGTTAGAGGGAAGAACCCAAAATTTGAAGGGGAACGTTAAATTGGGGAGGTAGTTGGGGGCTCTGTGGGTGCTGGGGAGTTGGGTCTCTGACATCACCTCCCCCAGTGGGTGCTGGGGGGTCTCTGTGGGTGCTGGGGGTGTTTGGGGGTGCTCTCTGTGGGTGTTTGGGGGTCTCTGTGGGTGCTTAGGGGGAGTCTGTGGGTTTTGGGGGGGCTCTGTGGGTGCTGGGGGGGTCTGTGGGTGCTTGGGGGGCTCTCTGGGGGCTCTGTGGGTGCTGGGGGCTCTGTGGGTGTCTGTGGGTGTTTGGGGGCTCTGTGGGTGCTGTGGGTGCTGGGGGGCTCTGTGGGTGCTTGGGGGGTCTCTGGCATCCCCCAGTGGGGTGTCAGAGCTGCTCCAGGCCCAGGGGTGCCCGTGGTGGGTGGTGGGGGGTCTGTGGGTGTTTGGGGGTCTGGGAGGTGTTTGGGGGTCTCTGACATCCCCTCCCCCAGTGGGTGTCAGAGCTGCTCCAGGCCCAGGGGTGCCCGTGGTGGGTGGGGGGTGTTGGTGGAGTGCTTGGGGGCTCTGTGGGTGTTTGGGAGGTTTGGGGGTCTGTGGGTGTTTGGGGGAGTCTCTGACACCCCCATCCCCAGTGGGTGTCAGAGCTGCTCCAGGCCCAGGGGGTGCCCGTGGTGGGCACGGCGGGGAGGGCAGAGCTGCAGGTGGCCCTCGGTGCCATCCTGAGCCGGATCCAGCGCCTGTGAGTGACCCCCAAAAATAACCCTGAGACCACCCTCCCCAAAAACACCCCCTCCCCAAAAACAACCCTGGGACCACCCCCCTCAAAAAACACCCCCAAAAAAACAACCTGGGACCTCCCCAAAAAACACCCACCCCAAAAACAACCCTGGGATCTCCCCCAAAAAAACCAACCCTAGGACCCCCAAAAAACAACTCTAGAACCACCCCCTCCCCAAAAAACAACCCTGGGACATCCCCCAAAAAACAACCCGGACCACCCCAAAACAACCCTGGGACCACCCCCAAAAAACAACCCTGGGACCCCTCAAAAACAACCTGGGACCCTCCCCCAAAAACACCCCAGGACACCTCCCAAAACCCCAGGACCCTAAACACCTAGGACCACCTCCCCAAGAAAAACCCCAGAACCCCCAAAAACCCGAGACCCTCCCCAAAAAAACCTCAGGATCCCCCCCAACAAAACTCAGGACCCCCCAAAAAACCCTAGGACACCCCCAAAAAATCCCAGGACACCCCCAAAAAACCCTAGGACCCCCAAAAACCCCGGGACCCCCTCCCCAAAAAAATCCCAGGACCTCCCCCAAAAAATCCCAGGACCCTCCCAGAAACCTAGGACCCCTCCCCAAAGAAACCCCAGGACCCCTCCCACCCTCAAAATCTCGGCCCCCCTAAAAAACACCAGGACCCTCCCAAAAAAACCTTGGGATCCCCTCCCCCTAAAAACCCTAGGACCCCTCCCATAAAAACACCAGGACCCCCCCAAAAACCCTGGGACCCCCCAAAAAATCCCAGGACCCTCCTCAAACCCAGGACCCCTCAAAAACCTCGGGACCACCCCCATCTCACCTGTGCCCCCTAGGTGCCCCTGAGCCCCCATATCTCACCTGTGCCCCCCCAGGTGCCCCCTGAGCCCCCATCTCACCTGAGCCCCCCATATCTCACCTGTGCCCCCAGGTGCCCCTGAGCCCCATCTCACCTGTGCCCCCATCTCACCTGAGCCCCCCAGGTGCCCCCTGAGCCCCCATCTCACCTGAGCCCCCCATGTCACCTGTGCCCCCAGGTGCCCCCTGAGCCCCCCATGTCACCTGTGCCCCCAGGTGCCCCCATGTCACCTGTGCCCCCAGGTGCCCCTGAGCCCCCAGGTGCCCCCTGAGCCCCCATGTCACCTGTGCCCCCAGGCGCCCCCATGTCACTCCCCCTAGGTGCCCCCATCTCACCTGAGCCCCCAGGTGCCCCTGAGCCCCCAGAGTGCCCCCCCATCTCACCTGTGCCCCCAGGTGCACCTGAGCCCCCATATCTCACCTGTGCTCCCAGGTGCCCCCATGTCACCTGTCCCCAGGTGCCCCCCTATCTCACCTGTGTCCCCAGGTGCCCCTGAGCCCCCCAGATGTGCCCCCATATCTCACCTGTTCCCCCATGCCCCTGAGCCCCCCATGTCACCTGTGCCTCCCAGGTGCCCCCTGAGCCCCCCCCATGTCACCTGTGCCCCCCCAGGTGCCACCTGTCTGCGCTGCCCCCCCGGGCACTGAAGGTGGTGGCCGTGGGGGGGTCGGGGTTCCACGGGACCCTCCTGAGGGGCTTCGTGCGGCACCTGAGCCCCCGTGGGCACGACTGGCTGGGCTACCTGCGCTTCCTGCTCGTGCCCCTGGGTAAGGGGGGCACCTGGGCACACCTGGGCACCTGTACACACCTGTACACACACCTGGGTACACACCTGGGCACACCTGGGCACACCTGGGGGGATACCTGTACACCTGGGCACACCTGGGCACACAGCTGGGCACACAGCTGAGCCCCCGTGGGCACGACTGGCTGGGCTACCTGCGCTTCCTGCTCGTGCCCCTGGGTAAGGGACACACCTGGGCACACCTGGGCACACCTGGGGGGTACCTGGGCACACAGCTGAGCCCCCGTGGGCACGACTGGCTGGGCTACCTGCGCTTCCTGCTCGTGCCCCTGGGTAAGGAACACACCTGGGCACACCTGGGCACCTTTACACACCTTTACACACACCTGGGCACACCTGGGCACACCTGGGCACACCTGGGCACACAGCTGAGCCCCCGTGGGCACGACTGGCTGGGCTACCTGCGCTTCCTGCTCGTGCCCCTGGGTAAGGAACACACCTGGGCACACCTGGGCACACCTGGGGTACCTGGGCACACACCTGAGCCTCCCGTGAGCACGACTGGCTGGGCTACCTGCGCTTCCTGCTGGTCCCTCTGGGTAAGGAACACACCTGGGCACACCTGGGCACCTGTACACACACCTGGGCACACACCTGGGCACACCTGGGGGGTACCTGGGCACACACCTGTACACACACCTGGGCACACCTGGGGGGTACCTGGGCACACAGCTGAGCCCCCGTGGGCACGACTGGCTGGGCTACCTGCGCTTCCTGCTCGTGCCCCTGGGTAAGGAGGGCACCTGGGCACACCTGGGCACACCTGGGCACCTGTACACACCTGGGCACACACCTGGGGGGTACCTGGGCACACAGCTGAGCCCCCGTGGGCACGACTGGCTGGGCTACCTGCGCTTCCTGCTGGTGCCCCTGGGTAAGGAGGGCACCTGGGCACACCTGGGCACCTGTACACACACCTGGGCACACCTGGGCACACAGCTGGGCACCTTTACACACCTGTACACACCTGGGCACACACCTGGGCACACCTGGGCACACAGCTGAGCCCCCGTGGGCACGACTGGCTGGGCTACCTGCGCTTCCTGCTGGTGCCCCTGGGTAAGGTGGGCACCTGGGCACACCTGGGCACCTGTACACACCTGGGCACACACCTGGGCACACAGCTGAGCCCCCGTGGGCACGACTGGCTGGGCTACCTGCGCTTCCTGCTGGTCCCTCTGGGTAAGGAACACACCTGGGCACACCTGGGCACACCTGGGCACACACCTGGGCACACAGCTGAGCCCCCGTGGGCACGACTGGCTGGGCTACCTGCGCTTCCTCCTCGTGCCCCTGGGTAAGGGACACACCTGGGCACACCTGGGCACCCATACACACACCTGGGCACACCTGGGGGGTACCTGGGCACACACCTGGGCACACCTGGGCACACAGCTGGGCACACAGCTGAGCCCCCGTGGGCACGACTGGCTGGGCTACCTGCGCTTCCTGCTCGTGCCCCTGGGTAAGGGACACACCTGGGCACACCTGGGCACCTTTACACACCTTTACACACACCTGGGCACACCTGGGCACACCTGGGGGGTACCTGGGCACACAGCTGAGCCCCCGTGGGCACGACTGGCTGGGCTACCTGCGCTTCCTGCTGGTGCCCCTGGGTAAGGAACACACCTGGGCACACCTGGGCACACCTGGGCACACCTGGGCACACACCTGGGCACACAGCTGAGCCCCCGTGGGCACGACTGGCTGGGCTACCTGCGCTTCCTGCTCGTGCCCCTGGGTAAGGAACACACCTGGGCACACCTGGGCACACCTGGGCACACCTGGGCACTGTACACACCTGTACACACAACTGGGCACACACCTGGGCACACACCTGGGCACACAGCTGAGCCCCCGTGGGCACGACTGGCTGGGCTACCTGCGCTTCCTGCTGGTCCCTCTGGGTAAGGGACACACCTGGGCACACCTGGGCACACAGCTGGGCACACACCTGGGCACACCTGGGTACACCTGGGCACACCTGGACACACCTGGGCACACCTGGACACTTGTACACACCTGTACACACACCTGGGCACACACCTGGGCACACACTTGGGCACACCTGGGCACACAGCTGGGCACACACCTGGGCACACCTGGGTACACCTGGGCACACCTGGACACTTGTACACACCTGTACACACACCTGGGCACACACCTGGGCACACACCTGGGCACACACCTGGACACTTGTACACACACCTGGGCACAAACCTGGGCACACACCTGGGCACACACCTGGGCACACACCTGGGGGGTACCTGTACACCTGGGCACACACCTGAGCACACCTGGGCACACACCTGGGCACACACCTGGGCACACACCTGTCCTCACACTTGGGCACTCCTGGGCACACCTGCACACACACCTGGGCACACACCTGGACACACATACCTGGACATACCTGGGCACACCTGGGGGGTACCTGGGCACACACCTGGAGGGCTACCTGTACACCTGGGCACATCTGGACACACACCTGGGGGGGGTACCTGTACACCTGGGCACACACCTGGTGGGTACCTGTACACCTGTACACACATCTGGGCACACACCTGGATACACACCTGGGCACACACCTGGTGGGTACCTGTACACCTGTACACACATCTGGGCACACACCTGGATACACACCTGGGCACACCTGGGCACACACCTGGGCACACCTGGGCACACCTGGGCATGCACCTGGGCACACCTGGGCACTTGTACACACACTTGGGCATGCACATAGGCACACCTGGGCACACACACCTGGTGGGTACCTGGGCACACACCTGGGCACACCTGGTGGGTACCTGGGCATACCTGGGCACACCTGGTGGGTACCTGGGCACACCTGGGCACACACCTGGTGGGTACCTGGGCACACACCTGGTGGGTACCTGGGCACACCTGGTGGGTACCTGGGCACACACCTGTACACACCTGGACATAGCTGGGCACACCTGGTGGGTACCTGGGCATACCTGGGCACACCTGGTGGGTACCTGGGCACACACCTGGGCACACCTGGTGGGTACCTGGGCACACACCTGGGCACACACCTGGTGGGTTCCTGGGCACACACCTGGTGGGTACCTGGGCACACACCTGGTGGGTACCTGGGCACACCTGGTGGGTACCTGGGCACACCTGGGCACACACCTGGACATAGCTGGGCACACCTGGTGGGTACCTGGGCATACCTGGGCACACCTGGTGGGTACCTGGGCACACACCTGGGCACACCTGGTGGGTACCTGGGCACACACCTGGGCACACACCTGGTGGGTAGCTGTACACCTGTACACACACCTGGGCACACCCAGACACACACCTGGACACTCCTAGGCACACACCTGGACACACACCTGGGCACACACCTGGGCACAAACCTGGGCACACACCTGGACACACACCTGGGCACACACCTGGGCACAAACCTGGGCACACACCTGGACACTTGTACCCATCTGGGCACACACCTGGGCACACACCTGGTGGGTACCTGGGCACACCTGGTGGGTACCTGGGCACACACCTGGGCACACCTGGTGGGTACCTGGGCACACACCTGGGCACACACCTGGTGGGTACCTGGGCACACCTGGGCACACACCTGGTGGGTACCTGGGCACACCTGGGCACACACCTGGTGGGTACCTGTACACACCTGTCCACACACCTGTCCACACACCTGGGAACCCCTGGACACACATACCTGGACATACCTGGGCACACCTGGTGGGTACCTGGGCACACCTGGGGGGTACCTGGTCATACCTGGGCACACCTGGTGGGTACCTGGGCACACACCTGGTGGGTACCTGTACACCTGGACACACACCTGGGCACACACCTGGTGGGTACCTGGGCACACACCTGGTGGGTTCCTGGGCACACACCTGGTGGGTACCTGTACACCTGGACACACACCTGGTGGGTTCCTGGGCACACACACCTGGGCACACACACCTGGTGGGTACCTGGGCACACCTGGGCACACCTGGTGGATACCTGTACACCTGGTGGGTTCCTGGGCACACACACCTGGGCACACCTGGTGGGTACCTGGGCACACACTTGGACACACCCCTGGTGGGTACCTGGGCACACCTGGGCACACCTGGTGGATACCTGTACACCTGGTGGGTTCCTGGGCACACACACTGGGCACACACCTGGTGGGTACCTGGGCACACACTTGGACACACCCCTGGTGGGTACCTGGGCACACCTGGGCACACCTGGTGGATACCTGTACACCTGGTGGGTTCCCTGGGCACACACACCTGGGCACACCTGGTGGGTACCTGGGCACACACTTGGACACACCCCTGGTGGGTACCTGGGCACACCTGGTGGGTACCTGGGCACACCTGGGGGGTACCTGGGCACACCTGGGGGGTACCTGGGCACACCTGTCCCCCCCGTGTCCCCCCCAGGCCCGCACCCCGTGGCGCAGCATTTGGGGTCCCTGGACGGGCGCTACGGGGCCGCCTTCCTGGACCCCCCCTGGAGGGACCTGTTCGGCAGGAGCGAACCCCCCCCCACCGGTCAGGGGGGCACCCACGGGGGAGAATGGGGGATCCTGGGGGCACCCACGGGTGAGGGGCACCCACGGCTGAAGGGCACCCACGGGGGGGTGAATGGGGTGGGGCACCCACGGGAGGTGGAGGGTCCTGGGGGCACCCACGGGGGAATGGGGGCACCCACGAGAGGGTCCTGGAGCACCCACGGGTGAGGGGCCAACCACGGGGGGAATGGGGGTCCTGGGGGCACCCACGTGGGATGGGGGTCCTGGGGCACCCATGGGTGAGGGGGAATGGGGGTACCCACGGGGGATGGGGGCACCCACGGGGAGGAAATGAGGGGGCACCCACGGGGGAGGGGGAAATGAGGGGGCACCCACGGGGGAAGGAAATGAGGGGGGCACCCACGGGGGAGGAAATGAGGGGGCACCCACGGGGAGGGGGAAATGAGGGGGCACCCACGGGGGGAAGGAATGAGGGGGCACCCACGGGGGGAGGAAATGAGGGGGGCACCCACGGGGAGGAGGAAATGAGGGGGCACCCACGGGAGGAGGAAATGAGGGGGGGGCACCCACAGGGGAGGGGAAATGAGGGGGCACCCACGGGGGGAAGGAAATGAGGGGGGGCACCCACGGGGGATGGGGGTCCTGGGGTACCCACGGGTGAGAGGGGGCACCCATAGGGGGCAGGGGAAGGGTCCGAGGGTGGGGGCTCGGGGGGCACCCACGGGCAAGAGGGGCACCCACGGGGAGGGGGATTTGGAGGGGGCACCACGGGGAGGGGATTTGGGGGGTGGGTGGGCTCGGGGCACCCATGGGGGGTATTTGGGGGTGGGGGGTACCCACGGGGTGGCATTTGGGGGTGGGGGTCCTGGGGAGCACCCACGGGGGGATTTGGGGGATGGGGGTACCCATGGGTGAGGGGGCACCCACGGGGGGCTTTTGGGGGTGGGGGTCCTGGGGGCACCCACGGGGGATTTGGGGGATGGGGGTACCCATGGGTGAGGGGGGGCACCTACAGGGGAGGAAAGGGGGCACCCACGGGGGGAGGGGGCACCCACGGGTGAGGGGGCACCCACGGTGGGGATATGGGGTGGGGTGGCGCCCACGGGTGAGGGAGGGCACCCACGGGGGTGGGGGGTCCTGGGGCACCCACGGGTGAGGGGGCACCCACGGGTGGGGGTACCCACGGGGGGGATATGGGGGTGGGGGCACCCACGAGGGGTTTGAGGGGTGGGGGCACCCACGGGTGAGGGAGGACACCCACGGGGAGGGGCACTCACGGGGGGATATGGGGGCACCCATGGGGGAGGATGGGGGCACCCATGGGTGAGGGGGCACCCACGGGGGGAGGAAATGAGGGGGGCACCCACGGGGGAGATGGGGGTCCTGGGGTGCACCCACGGGGGTATTTGGGGTGGGGGCGCCCACGGGGGGATTTGGGGGTCCCGGGGTGTCACCTGTAGGCTTCCCAGAGCCGTTCAGCGTGGCCGGGCGCATCCTGGGGGTTTGGGGGGGTTGTGGGTTCTGGGTGGGTTTGGGGGTTTTGGGGGGTCCCGGGTGGGTTTGGGGGATTTGGGGGTCCCGGGTGGGTTTTTGGGGGTCCTGGGGGTCACCCGTGGAGTGTTTTCCCCAGAGCCGTTCAGCGTGGCCGGTCCCATCCGGGGTTTGGGGATTCAGGAGGGGTTGGGGTGGTCAGGGGGATTTGAGGGGTCCCAGGTGGGTTTTGGGGGTTTTTGGGGTCCCGGGGTTTGTAGGGTTCTGGGTGGGTTTGGGGGATTTTTGGGGGTCCTGGGGGATTTTTGGGGTCCTGGGGTGTCACCTGGGTTGTCCCCCAGAGCCGTTCAGCGTGGCCGGGCACATCCTGGGGGTTTGGGGGCTGTGGTTTCCAGGGGGTGTTTGTGGGTTCTGGGTGGGTTTGGGGGATTTGGGGGTCCCGGGTGGGTTTTGGGGTCCTGGGTGGGTTTTTGGGGTCCTGGGGGTTTTGGGGTGTCACCCGTGGGTGTCCCCCTCAGAGCCGTTCAGCGTGGCCAGGGCGCATCCTGGGGGTTTGGGGGATTTTTGGGTTCCAGGGGTGTTTGTGGGTTCTGGGTGGTTTGGGTGGTTTGGGGGTGGTTTTGGGGGATTTTTGGGGTCCCGGGTGGGTTTGGGGGTTTTTGGGGGTCCCGGGTGGGTTTGGGGGTTTTGGGGGTCCCGGGGTGTCACCCGTGGGTGTTCTCCCAGAGCCGTTCAGCGTGGCCGGGCGCATCCTGGGGGTTTGGGGGTTTTGTGGGTTCTGGGTGGGTTTGGGGGATTTGGGGGTCCTGGGTGGGCTTTTGGGGTCCCAGGGGGGTTTTTGGGGGTCACCCATGGGTGTGCCCCCCAGAGCCGTTCAGCGTGGCCGGGCGCATCCTGGGGGTTTGGGGTTCCAGGTGGGGTTTGTGGGTCCTGTGGGTTTGGGGGATTTGGGGGGTCCCAGGTGGGTTTTTGGGGTCCCGGGGGATTTGGGGTCACCCGTGGGTTGTCCCCCCCCAGAGCCGTTCAGCGTGGCCGGGCGCATCCTGGCGTTCGTGGCGGGGGCGGGCGTGACCCTCCCCCTGCCCGTGGCCGAGGCGATGCTGACCGGGAGGGACAAGTTGTGAGTGGGGACACCGCGACACGGGGGGACACGGGGGGGACACAGGGGGACACGGGGGAGGGAGGGACACAGGGGGACACGGGGGACACGGGAGGGGACTCTGGGGGACACCGGGACACGGGGAGGGAGGGACATGGGGAGGACACGGGGGGACACGGGGACATGGGGGGACACCACGAGCACGGAGGGGACACAGGGGGGACACAGGGGGACACGGGGGGACACGGGAGGGGACACTGGGACACGGGGGGGACACAGGGGAGGGGACACGGGGAGGGGACACGGGAGAGGGACACGGGGGGACACTGGGACACGGGGGAGGGAGGGACATGGGGAGGGACACGGGGGACACTGGGACACGGGGAGGGACACGGGGGGACTCAGGGGGACACACGGGACACGGGGGACGGGGACATGGGGAGGGACACGGGGGGGACACTGGGACACGGGGGGACACGGGGAGGGACTCGGGGGACACCGGGACACGGGGGAGGGAGGGACATGGGGAGGGACACGGGGGGACACTGGGACATGGGGACACCACGACACGGGAGGACACGGGGGACATGGGGGACACCGGGACACTGGGGACACGGGAGGGGACACAGGGGGATGGGGGGACACAGGGGGGACACGAAGGGGGAGGACACGTGGAGCGGGGGACACAGGGGGACATTGGGGACAAGGGGGACATTGGGGACACGAGGGGGAGACACGGGAAGGGGGGACACTGGGACAGGGGAGGGGACACGGGGACATGGGAGGGACACCGGGACAGGGAGGGACACAGGGGGACATTGGGGACATGGGGGGACACTGGGACGGGGAGGGGACATGGGGGACATTGGGGACAAGGGGGACATTGGGGACAGGAGGGGACATCGGGGACAGGGGGACACTGGAGACACGAGGGGGACATGGGGACACGGGAGGGGGACATGGGGGACACTGGGGACATGGGGACACGGGGGGACACTGGGACAGGGGAGGACACGGGGGACATTAGACACAGGGGGACATGGGGGACACAGGGGACATTGGGGACAGGGGGGACATTGGGGACAAGGGGGACATTGGGGACACGGGGGACATCGGGGGACAGGAGGGACATTGGGGACTGGGGGACATCGGGACACGGAGGGGACATGGGGGACACAGGGGGACATTGGGGACAGGAGGGGACATTGGGGACAAGGGGGACATCGGGACACGGGAGGGGGGACATGGGGGACACAGGGGACATTGGGGACACGGGGGACATCAGCCACTGGGGACAGGAGGGACACGGGGGGATATTGGGGACAAGGGGAACAAGGGGGACAGCAGGACACGGGGACATTGGGGACAGGGGGGACACAGGGGGCACTGTCACAGGGGTGGGGGTGGGGGACCTGGGGACAGGCCACCCGTGATGGCCCCAACTGTCCCAACTGTCCCCACCTGTCCCCAACTGTCCCCAACTGTCCCAACTGTCCCCAACTGTCCCCAACTGTCCCCACCTGTCCCCAGGTGTCCCCAGGTGTCCCCAACTGTCCCCAATTGTCTCCAACTGTCCCCACCTGTCCCCAACTGTCCCCAACTGTCCCACCTGTCCCCACCTGTCCCCACCTGTCCCCACCTGTCCCCAACTGTCCCCCATTGACCCCAACTGTCCCCAACTGTCCCCAATTGTCCCCATCTGTCCCCATCTGTCCCCAACTGTCCCCAACTGTCCCCAACTGTCCCCAATTGTCCCCAATTGACCCCAACTGTCCCCAACTGTCCCCAATTGTCCCCACCTGTCCCCAATTGTCCCCACCTGTCCCCGTCTGTCCCAGCCCCGACGAGGACTCGTGTCAGAAGTTCGTGCCCTTCGTGGGGGTGAGACTGGGGGGACTGGGAGAGACTGGGAGGGACTGGGGGGACACTGGGAGGGACATTGTGGGGGACACTGGGAGGGACTGGGAGGGACATTGGGGGATACTGGGAGGGACTGGGGGACATTTTGGGAGGATACTGGGAGGGACTGGAGGGGACACTGGGAGGGACTGGGGGACACTGGGACGGACTGGGAGGGACACTGGGAGGGACACTGGAGGGACTGGGGGGACACTGAGGGGACTGGGGGGACACTGGGAGGAACTGGGGGGACATTGTGGGGACACTGGGAGGAACTGGGAGGGGACACTGGGAGGGACTGGGGGGACATTGTGGGGGACCTTGGGGGGATACTGGGAGGGACTGGGGGACACTGGGGGCATTTGGGGGGGCGGGGGTCACACCAAAGTGTCCCAAAGTGTCCCCAAAGTGTCCCCCAAAATGTCCATAAAAGTGTCCCCAAATGTCCCCAAAGTGACCCAAAAACATCCCAAAATGTCCCCAAAATGACCCCAAGATGACCCCAAAATTGTCCCCAAAGTGTCCCCAAAGTGACCCCAAAATGTCCCCAAAGTGTCATCGTGGCCCCCCTCCCCCCGCAGGTGGTGAAGGTGGGATTTGCCGACGACCCCCAACCGGGCCGGGTACGAGGGACCCCCAAAGGGGGTGGGGGAGGGGGCACCCAAATCCCTGAATTTTGGGGTGGGCACCCAAAACCTGAAATTTTGGGGGCACCCAAAACCTGGATTTTGGAGGGGGGAGGGGCACCCAAAGACCCAGGAATTTGGGGGGGAGGGGCACCCAAATCCCTGAAATTTTTTCGGGGGGGACACCCAAATCCCTGGAATTTTGGGGGGGGGACACCCAGACCCTGGAATTTTTGGGGGAGGGGGCACCCAAATCCCTGGAATTTTGAGGGGGCACCCCAAGACCCCAGAATTTTTTTGGAGGGGGCACCCAAATCCCTGAATTTTGAGGGTGGGGCACCCAAATCTCTGGAATTTTGGGGGGAGGGGGCACCCAAACACCCAGGAAGTTTTTTTTTGGGGGGAGGGCACCCAAATCCCTGGAATTTTTTGGGGGTACACCCAAAGACCTGAAAATTTTGGGGGGCACCCAAATCCCTGAATTGGGCGGGGGCACCCAAAGACCCAGGAATTTTTATTTGGGGGCACCCAAATACCTGAATTTTTGGGGAGGGGCACCCCAAGACCGCAGAATTTTTGGGGGCACCCAAATCCCTGGAATTTTGGGGGTCACCCAGACCGTGGAATTTTTATTTTGGGGAGGGGGCACCCAAATCCCTAAATTTTTTTGTGGGGGAACCAAAGACCTGGATTTGGGGGGAGGGGCACCCAAAGACCCAGGAATTTTTTATTTTTGGGGGGTGGGGGCACCCAAATCCCTGGAATTTTTGGAGGGAGGGGTCATCCAGACCCTGAAATTTTTTGGGGGGGAGCACCCCAAGACCCCAGGATTTTTTTTTTGGGGGGGGCACCCAAATCCCTGAATTTTGGGGGGGAGGAAGAGGCACCAAGACCTGGGAATTTCTTTTTTTGGGGGGGTACCCAAATCCCTGAATTTGAGGGGTGGGGGCACCCAAATCCCTGGAATTTTTTTGGAGGGTGGGGGGCACCCAAATCCCTGAATTTTGTGGGGGGGAGGCACCCCAAGACCCCACAATTTTTTTTGGGAACCCAAACCCCTGAAATTTTGGGGGACACCCAGACCCTGGAATTTTTTGGGGGAGGGGGGCACCCAAATCCCTGAAATTTTGGGGGTGTCACCCAAAGACCTGAATTTTTTGGAGGGGGCACCCAAATCCCTGAAAATTTGGGGGAGGGGACACCCAAAGACCCAGGAATTTTTCTGGGGGAGGGGGCACCCAAATCCCTGAATTTCAGAGGGGGGGACACCCAAAAACCTGGATTTTGGGGGAGGGAAGAGGCACCAAGACCTGGGAATTTTTTTTTGGGGTGGGGGCACCCAAATCCCTGGAATTTTGGGGGGAGGGGGCACCCAAAGACCTGAAATTTGAGGGGTGGGGGGCACCCAAAGACCCAGGAATTTTTATTTTGGGGGCACCCAAATCCCTGAATTTTTGGGAGGGGGGCACCCCAAGACCCCAGAATTTTTTTGAGGGGAGGGGCACCCAAATCCCTGAATTTTGGGGGGGTCACCCAGACCTTGGAATTTTTTATTTTGGGGGGGGGGCACCCAAATCCCTGAATTTGGGGGTGGGGGGGCACCCAAACACCCGAATTCTTTGGGGGGGCTCCCCACCCCAGGGGTGCCCCCCTCATTTCTCCTCCCCTCCCCCGCAGGTGAAGGGGACGAGGGACCCCCACCCTCAGCGTCCCTCCACGTCCCCCGGGAGGGGTCGGGGGTCCCGCGAGGCCGCGACCTCCCGGCGTCCCTCTCCATGGTCGGGGGCACTCCTAGGTGAGACCCCCCAAAAAAATTGGGGGATGGGGGAGGGGGAGGGAGGAGGGAAGGACCTTGAATTTGGGGGAACCCACGGACCTGGATTTTGGGGAGGGGGGTCCTAGGGGGGTCTGGGGGTCCCTGGGTTGTTTTGGGGGTCTCTGGATTATTTTGGGGTCCCTGGGGGTGTCCCTGGGCTGTTTTGGGGGTCTCTGGATTTTTTGGGGGGGTCCCTGGGGGGGTCTCTGGGTTATTTGGGGGTCCCTGGGTTGTTTTGAGGGTCCCTGGGGGGTCTCTGGGTTATTTTGGGGGTCTCTGGGTTGTTTTTGGGGGTCCCTGGGGATGTCCCTGGGCTGTTTTGGGGGTCTCTGGGTTGGTTTGGGGTCCCTGGGGGTCTCTGGGCTGTTCTGGGGGTCCTTGGTTGTTCTGAGGGGGTCTCTGGGTTATTTTGGGGGTCTCTCTCTACTTTTGGGGTCCCTCTCCCTGCAGCTCCTCGGGGGACACATTTGGGGTTGCAGGTGGATTATTGGGGGTCTCGGGGGTCTCTGGGTTATTTTGGGGGTCTCTGGGTTATTTTGGGGGTCTCTCTCTAATTTTGGGGTCTTCTGGGTTATTTTGGGGTCTGGGTTATTTTGGGGGTCTCTGGGTTATTTGGGGGGTCCCTGGAGGGTCTGGGTTATTTTGGGGGTCTCTGGGTAATTTTGGGGGTCTCTGGGTTATTTTGGGGGGGGTCTCTCTCTCATTTTGGGGTCTCCCCCTCCCCCCGCAGCTCCTCGGGGGCACTCTGGGTCTGCAGGTGGATTATTGGGGGTCTGGGTTATTTTGGGGGGGTCTCTGGGTTATTTTGGGGGGGTCTCTGGAGGGTCTGAGTTATTTGGGGGGTCCCTGGGGGTGTCCCTGGGCTGTTTTGGGGGTCCCTGGGTTATTTTAGGGGGGTCTCTGGGTTATTTTGGGGGGGTCTCTCTCTAATTTTGGGGGTCTCTGGGTTGTTTTGGGGGGTCTCTCTCTCATTTTGGGGTCCCCCCTCCCCCCGCAGCTCCTCGGGGGACGCTCTGGGCCTGCAGGTGGATTATTGGGGAGGGGTCTGGGTTATTTTGGGGGGGGTCTCTCTTTAATTTTGGGGGTTTCTCTCTCATTTTGGGGTCCCCCCCCCCCCCGCAGCTCCTCGGGGGACGCCCTGGGCCTGCAGGTGGATTATTGGGGAGGGGTCTGGGTTATTTTGGGGGGGTCTCTCTTTAATTTTGGGGTTTCTCTCTCATTTTGGGGTCTCCCTCCCCCCCGCAGCTCCTCGGGGGACGCCCTGGGCCTGCAGGTGGATTATTGGGGAGGGGTCCCTGAGTTATTTTTGGGGGCCTCTCTTTAATTTTGGGGGTCTCTGGGTTATTTTAGGGGGTCTCTCTTTAATTTTGGGGGTCTCTCTCTCTAATTTTGGGGTCCCCCACAGCTCCTCGGGGGACGCCCTGGGCCTGCAGGTGGATTATTGGGGAGGGGTCGCCCCCGGATCGGCGGCGAGGAGGAGGAGGAGGAGGAGGAGGAGGAGGAGGAGGGGAGGGGAGGGGCCGGGAGGGGGGAGGGGAGCGGCGCGAGGGGGTCCCAAAAGCAGCCTGAGGGGCACCTTCCGCTCCCCTGCTCGTCACGCGCCTCCCCGGGAGACCCCGGGACCACCCTGGCCATGACGCTCGTGAGCCGAGAGAGGAACAAGAAGGGTGAGGGGGAGGAGAGGATTTGGGGGAGTTTGGAGGTGATTTGGGGGAGTTTGGGGGTGATTTGGGGGGGCTTTGGGGTGATTTGGGGGGTTGGGGGATTTGGGGTCGGGGGAGGAGTTTGAGGGGATTTGGGGCGGTTTGGGGGCCTAGGGGGAGTTTGGGGTGATTTGGGGTGATTTGGGGGTGGGAAGGGAGTTAGGGGGATCTTGGGGAGTCTTGGTGGGCATGGGGAGTTTTGGGGTGGATTTGGGGGCAGTTTAGGGATTTGGGGAGTTTTGGGGAGAGGATTGAGGGCAGGAGGGGGAGGTTTGGGGGATTTAAGCGATTTGGGGGAGTTTGGGGTGATTTGGGGATTTAGGGGTGGGGGGAGGCTTTGGGGACGATCTGGGGGACTTGGGAGTGAGAAGGGAGCCTAGGGGGATCTGGGGTGATCTGAGAGCCTGGGAGCAACCTGAGGGTCCGGGGGAGCTTAAGAGTGATTTGGGGGGTGGGGGGAGTCAGGGGCTTCTAAAGCGACTCTGGGGTGATCTGGGGAGCCTGGAGAGCTTGAGGGGAGTCTGGGGATGCCTTAGAGTGATCTAGGGGATCTAAATTTGGGGAGCCTAGAGTTTGAGGGATCTGGGGGGAGTTTGGGGAGCTCTGAGGTGGGGGATTTGAAGGATTGGGGCGACTGGGGGAGTTTGGGGGTGATTTGGGGGTTTTAGGGGGTGGGGGGAGGTCTTGGGGGATTTTGGGGTGCCTTTGGGGGCGGGGGCAGTTTGGGGGTGATCTGGGGGCCTTGGGGAGTTTGGGGGTGATTTGGGGTCAGGGGGAGTTTGGGGGCACTTCAGGGTGATTTGAGGGCCTGGGGAGTTTAGGGGGATTTGGGCGATTTGGGGGAGCGGGGAAATTTGGGGGCGGGGAGCTTTAGGAGGGGGCTTTGGGGTGATTTGGGGGCAGTGGGGAGTTTAGAGGGAATTTCAGGAGTTTTGGGGGATGGGGGGTTTTGGGGGTTTCTTTCGGTTTTGGGGGTTTTTTGGGTTTTTTGGGGGTTTTTTGTTGTTGTTTCTTTGGGTTTTTGGGGGTTTTGGTTTGTTTTGGGGGGGTTTTGGGGTTTTTTTTGGGGGTTTTTTTGTTGCTTGTTTTTTTAGGGGGTTTTGGACTTCCTCGCTCCCCTCACGTACCTCTCCTCCCCTCCCCGCAGTGCCCGGCGCTGTTCAAGCGGCCCCGCGAGCCCGACAAGAGCGTGGTGGTCGAGGATCACGCGGCTCATCTGCGCCTCCGCCCCCGCCCTGCTCAGCGGTGAGGGGGGCCAACGGGGGAGGGGCGATTTGGGGTGGGGAGGGCGGTTTGGGGGCGTGGGGGTTAGGGGAGGGGCGTTTGGAGGGGATTGGGGGTGGGGGTGGGGATTTGGGGTCTGGGGGCCACACGGGGGAGGGCGGTTTGTGGTGGGGAGGGCGGTTTGGGGGAATTTGGGGGTGGGGGAGGGGTGATTTGGGGGAGGGGGCGTTTGGGGGGATTTGGGGGCTGGGGGCCACACGGGGGGAGGGGCGATTTGGGGGAATTTGGGGGTGGGGGAGGGGGCGTTTGGGGGGATTTGGGGGTCTGGGGGCCACGCGGGGGGAGGGGCGATTTATGGGGTGGGGGGTTAGGGGAGGATTTGGGGGTGGGGAGGGGCGTTTAGGGGGATTTGGGGCGAGGGGGTGTTGGGGGATTTGGGGTTGGGGGATTTTGAGGGGAGATTTGGGGGTGGGGGCACCCTGGGGTGGTTTGGTGGGGGATTTGGGGGGTGCAGGGGTCCTAAGGGGTCTGTGGGGTCCCAGTGGGGTCCCAGAGGGGGTCCCATGGGTGCCATGGGGTGCCAAGCCCCCCCTGTCCCCCCCCCAGTGTCGGTGGACGGGGCTCAGTGGGCTCTGAGGGGTCCCATGGGCTCTGTGGGTGTCCCTTGGGTGCCAGGGGGGACCCATGGGTGCCAGGGGGGTCCCATGGGTGCCATGGGCTCTGTGGGGGTCCCATGGGTGCCCTGGTGTCCCAAGACCCCCCCTGTCCCCCCCCAGTGTCGGTGGACGGGGCTCAGTGGGCTCTGTGGGTCTGTGGGGTCCCATGGGCTCTGTGGGTGCCCCGTGGGTTCTTTGGGGTCCCATGGGTGCCATGGAGCTCTGTGGGGAGTCAGAGGGGTCCCATGGGCTCTGTGGGGGTCCCATGGGTGCCAAGACCCCCCCTGTCCCCCCCCAGTGTCGGTGGACGGGGCTCAGTGGGCTCTGTGGGCTCTGTGGGTGCCCCATGGGTTCTGTGGGGTCCCATGGGTTCTGTGGGGTCCCAGAGGGGTCCCATGGGTGCCATGGGGGTCCCATGGGTCCCAAGACCCCCGTTTCTCCCCCCCAGTGTCGGTGGACGGGGCTCAGTGGGCTCTGTGGGCTCTGTGGGGTCCCGTGGGTGCCCCATGGGTTCTGTGGGACTCTGTGAGGTCTGTGGGTGTCCCATGGGTGCCATGGGGGTCCTGTGGGTTCTGTGGGGGTCCCATGGGTGCCCTGGGGTGCCAAGACCCCCCCTGTCCCCCCCCAGTGTCGGTGGACGGGGCTCAGTGGGCTCTGTGGGCTCTGTGGGTGTCCCATGAGGTGGGGTCCCATGGGGTCTGTGGGGTCCCAGAGGGGTCCCATGGGTGCCAAGACCCCCCCTGTCCCCCCCCAGTGTCAGTGGATGGGGCTCAGTGGGCTCAGTGGGCTCTGAGGGGTCCCGTGGGTGTCTGTGGGGTCCCATGGGTGCCCCGTAGGTTCTATGGGGTCCCATGGGTGCCATGGGGCTCTGTGGGGCTCTGTGGGGTCCCATGGGTGCTATGGGGGTCCCATGGGTGCCCTGGTGTCCCAAGACCCCCGTTTCTCCCCCCCAGTGTCGGTGGACGGGGCTCAGTGGGACGACATCAAGTTCTTCCAGCTCTCGGCCCAGTGGCCCTCGCACGTCAAGCACTTCCCCGTCGGTCCTTCGGAGGCCAAAGCCCCTGACCTCCCCCAAAAACACCCCGACACCCAGGGTGCCCCCTCACCCTCTGTGACCCCCTCACCTGTGAAACCCCCCCAAACTCCAGGGGGCACCCTGGGGTGCTTTGGCTTGGCGGCGGCGCCCCGTGTGTGGCCCCTCCCCCCCCAAAAATGACACCCCTCCCCCCAAAAAATGCCACCCTCCCCACACACAAAAATGACACCCCTCCCCCCAAAAATGACACCCTCCCCCAAAAAAGTGCCACCCTCCCCCTAAAAAAATGCCACCCCTCCCCACCCAAAAATGCCACGCCCTCCCCCCAAAAAAGTGCCACCCCTCCCCACCCACAAAAATGCCA